ATGTACATATTGAACGACTTGCTAAAACAAGAAAACCAACTCATCAAAACGAGAAAACTATCTCATATGAATGAGTTAATTATTTCTTTACATTTTTTTAAAAATGAGCCAATTTGGCTTTCATACCTTTAAAATTCGATTGACTTATAAATTAATGCGGTTATCAGTTTTAGTGGAAAACCGCACTACGTTTTTAGTGAGGTTAAAGTAAGTTCGTAAGGATACTATCCGTATGATTTTACACTATCGTATCTTTCGGCCACCAGGCGTAATAATAAGAGATATATATTTTAATCTTGTCCACTTTAAGACTTATCTGTGTACTTCTGTTGAAATTATTTATCAAATGCTAGCAATTCATTAAGACTACATATTTTCATAAAATTAATTAACAAATATCAGCAAAAAAGACAATTGCAAAAAAATCAGAAATGCCTGTATATATTTTGCCGGAATAAAAAATACATGATTCATTATCTTAAAAAAAAGTACATAATTTCTACAATGCACCTCTAACAAAACAAGTAACCAAAAAGTAGGAATACAAATGAAAATATGCCTAATGCTTAAACAAACACGCTTTCGGATCCATAATCTACTTATCACTCTAAAGGAATGAACTTTATAAAGTCAAATTTATCCAAGAGAAGTTTATTGATTTCAGATTTCCTGGCTTTGAGATGATGGAAACACTGCTTAAAACATATGTGGACGTACTTAGGCTGATGACGTCAAGGTATCGTACTTTGCCCTAGTCAGAGTGATAAAAAAACTAAAACGATTTATATACCATTAAAAAAATTACATAGAAACCAAGTTCATGAAAGGACTATATCCTTTTTGGATTTCCATTGTTGTTATTTTTTTCAATACACAGCATTTGTTAACAAACGTACACTTCTAATAAGAAAAGAAAAAGTTGACAATTCAACTAAATAAACCATTGCACCTTTACACTGGGCTTTGGAAGGGCACCGATGAAGAAAATCCATATATCTTGCTGCAAAGTCTTTAACGATATTTCAAGGGGTGATTATATTATACATAATATGTTGAAAAAAGCGGAAGATAACGAACAGTGATCGATCTAAAAAAAATCTAAAAACAAAACAATTCTGTGAATATATATAAGGGTATAAAACTCCATAGGTAGGGTCAAGTATATTGGATGTTATGAACTCATGTAACTAATCTTTCATGCATAACAAGAATCACAACAAATGGAAGCACTTCTAATTTGGCAAAAGAACATAGTTATATCTAAATATGATGACACTTTTACACATATATTCGAATTTCACATCTACTTTCGGCCGAGCAAAGAAGTTAATGTTTCTTTCAACCATCTGATCTGATTGTATAATTTAGTATTGAAGATCGAAAACGAGTAAACATAGAGCATTGAAACAGAAATTGATATACAACAAGTAAATAATACAATCAGTTTAAACTTAATCGTATTTTCCTATTTCTTTTTCTGTGACCATATACAAACTTCAGGTTCTCTCTTATGCAGATCTCAGAGATTTTTTCATGACTATGTTTTTTCGAGATATTAATCAAGATTTTGTCCTTTTAATGTAGTTGATACTCTCTTTAAACAATTTAATAATTCCAACTTGAATGCCTATTTTTTTTTAACTTTCTTTTTCTTGCTTCACATAAAAAAATGTACAAGCTAAAAAAATAAAGGTTATCAAAAAAGTAGTTATATTTGTAAAGGTACTGTAAATTACATAAATTTAATTTCAAAAACAGCTTGTAAACTTAACAGTCAATACTTAGGTGTCAAGAATGTTGATGAGAATAAAGCGGATGATCAAAGGGATTTTAAATAATAAATTCTATATAATCCTCCACTAGTATATAAAATGCTATGAAAGTAAGCGTTTACGATTTAAAATTGTCACTTTATATTGATACGAAAAAAAAATCTTTTTGATAATAAAAACTGCATTTTACTGTACATTTTTTTCTGTTCATTCAAAGTTACCTCAGATGATAAAACATATAATCTCTAATTTAAAAATTAAGTTAACTTATGAACACTTTGTCGAAAATCGGATTTAAAATTCAAATCAATTCCTTTTTAAAATTTATTTGAAATGTATAGATTTATTTGCATAAATGTAATGATTCATTATCAACATTCAATTGATTCTATTACCCCAATTTATACCTGATGAATGTCGGTAGATAAATAAACTTGCACAAAAGGGAAATCAAGGATAAACAAAAGCAACTGATTAAACATAAAATCTATTAGTAGACCGTTGATCTTCCATTTGAACGTTGGTATTCATGTATTTTTGCATTGGTTTCAATAACACTTTTCCAGTGTTTTATTAATAAACCAATATCTTTCTTTCAAGACCATTTATAATCACGAAAAAAAGGTTTTATTTTTAAACAATACCGATTGGTCCCATGAGCAAATTCCATAAGCCCAAAAGTTTAATTGTTTTTTTTTTTAATTTATTCACATACCAAGCCGTATTATATTCACATAAATGTTGTACATGTAAAATTATACCATGTTATTTTATTAACATTTCTAACTGATTTATAACAATCTCTGCGTATTATAGTTTTAAAGACATAAATGATTCATTTTTTCTAACTTCAACGGTATTAATTGAATATGTTTAACATGTCGACTATTATTATTACGTCACTGTGGAAATACACCGACAGTTTATGAATTGACATTAAAGGACAAGATAGGGTAAGACCCCTTTTTGGCCCCTGGTTTAGAGTGTCTCTTAGAACGATGCAACAGTTTATCATTAAAAACCTATTGTCATCCTTGTTACAAACAGAGTATTGATTCTTGGTTATGGGATAAACTAAGGTCACAGGAAGGTCACAAAATATGACAATTTCCAAATTTTCTCAAGCTTATGAAAATTGTCGTCAATTTTTAAGCACATTTTGCTTCAGAATGCACAGAGCACAAGCTTGCCTATCTACCAAATATAAATATATGTCATGCAATAGTATCAAGTGCATCTTGTGTTTAAAAATCTCAGATAAGCAAGCTTGTGTTCTATGTTTCCCAGAGGGAAAAGTAACTCAACTTTGATGAAATTCTGTCAGAATTGAGGAATTTCATTAAAATGTCCTACTTTGACACCCTATTGTTGCCCCAGGTATATTTTGAATCAAAATTTAGTGCTAGTTTTAAAACAATCATAATTTTTAAATTTCTTATCTGCAAAATATCCCAATTTTAAATGCGCTTTGATTTTTATACCAAATAAGGGGCCAAATTCGTCAATTTCCATATCTTGTCCCTTGTTGTCATGGGACGAAACTGTTTTTATACATGTTATGCATGTTTAAATACGCTTTGCTCAAATAGAGTCATATAACAGAAACATTTACAATGAAATATATAGATAGATATTAGAAATAAATAGATATTAGGAATTACATCATTTGAGGATAAGGCTTATAAAGAAAATTACGAAGATTTTTTTTTTTTTTCAATTTTTAAGACACGTAAATTTACTGAAGGGTGTAGACGATAATAGATGAGCAATCATGCAGGAGAATCAGTGATCATGAACTTCTTTCTCATATTTCATGTTGGACACTAATTTTAATGTGATCTTACAAAACAAACCATCACGGTAGCTCAGTTGGTAGAGCGCTCGCTCCATGATCGGAAGGTCGTGTGTTCAAATCACAACGGCGACTGACCTAAGCCGATAAAAAATAGGTAGCAACTGTTCCTTACATGTATCAAAGAGCTCGGCACTTTGAAGTGAAAGTTGCGGGTCCTTCGGATGAGACCTTAAAATCCGAGGTCCCGTGTCACGGTGGGCGTTGCACGATAAAGAACCATCACTGCTCAATGGCTCTGAGTGCCGAGTAAAGATCTAGATTTAAAGCCCTTCACCGGTATATGGCTACGTCTCTATATGAGTGAAAAATTCTCGAACAGGACGTAAAAACAACATACAATCAGTCAATCTTACAAAACAATGACTTTTGCGATCCGGTTAGAAAGTAAGACAAAGTTCGACAACTTTTTCTTACAATAAGTTTAGAGAACCTGGGCTTTTTTTTAGATATATCAATATGTACATAAAGATCCAAATTGACTTATTATCCTTATTTACACAAATCGCATTCTAAATAAAAAATATGATTAAAAATGAAGAGAAAAGAAAATGAAGATCACATAGCATAGCTTGTATTTGGTCGAATAGTTCGAAGATTAAATACCGAAGAAATAAACTTAAGGTATATTCTCTAAGCCACATGTTATTTACATCTTTGAATAATTTTATAGATAAGATCAAACACTTTTTTCAAAGAAAGAATTAACGAGTTTGGTTCATTTTGTATATTCTTTTATTTCTTATTTTGAAAAAAAAAAAAAAAAAAAAAAAAAAAAAAAAAAAAAAAACCTGATGAAAGCATAATCTTGAACATAAAGCCTACAAAAAAAAAGAACATGAAAGCATAATCTTAATGTCTTAACGAAGAAAAAATTACGAAACATTTTAAACCTATTTATGCATAAAAATATAAAATACCCGGATCCTCAAGATAATTACATCTTAGCGGAGAGAATTTAAAACATGTATTAAAATCTTTACACACATATATATATGTAAAATACACAGATTCTGAAGTTGACTACGCCTTAAAGGCGAAAATATAACGATAAATACTACTAAGATATACATGTACAAGTCAGCACACCAACAGGCAATTAAACAATGCAATTCTAAATATGGATAAACCTTATCTCAGTTATGAAAATAAAGAACTCAATATAAATGCAAACAAAGAAACGTGTTAAAAATTATCAATTTTCAGATAAAAAAAAATTTACAGTGTGTATGTTAATGGTTTCTCAAACATATATATGTATTAAACATAAATCTAATGTTTCCCTTTTTAGCTGAACAAACGCTGAAAATTACATCCACAAACAAATTTGAGAGAAATCAATATATTGAAAAGTAGAGATTGTCTGATTCAGCACATTACACACTGTCCTGAAGAAATGTATGACAATCAGCAAGGAAAAGTAATGCAGCAACTAGACATAAGATGGCGACACCAACACTTCCGATTGTCAGTGAGCTAGGGCGAGGATCATAGGCACACTTCAGGCTTCTCTCATAAGAACTTGTGTTTGTTTTTGGAATTTTCAGATTTCGAACAATTTCTTGAATTGAACTAACATTGGCTGTTTCCTTTAGTCGTCTCGGTGCTTCAATATTTAATAAAACATAATTCTTATGTATTATATCATTTATTTACATTATTTGTCGGCAGAATTATTATGATAACCTCAAGAAAAAAAAATTACAACAAATTAAATCAAACTTTTAGGACACATGAATAATTGTACATGCTAGAGTTTATTTTATTTTCATCAGTTGATTATTTCTATATCCTTATTGTTGTTAATACGGATATGTACTTATGGCGAGTTATTTTGCTAAGTATTAAGAAATAGAAAAGAAGATTATCTAAATTTGCTGTGCTATCTCATACCTTCCATTCTTTACTATTGGATTACTGAGATTCTTATACGAATAAATGATTCAATGATCATACTTGCACTATATAATTCTAAATGCCAGTCACTGGTATCTAAATTCTTACTTTAACATTTTTTTTTCTGTTTTTATGTTGTGTTTCTACATTTTTTATTTCAGTTGTTATCTATGCTAGACAGATAGGCAGAATCGGTAAAGCAGAGCTTACACTTTCACTTTTTTAAAAGTCTGTGTACCCGTTTGTCTGTCTGAATTCTTAACTTGAGAACTGAATAAAAAGACGATTCTGTTACATTCTTTCAGGTAGGATATTGGATTTTTTTAACCTTCTCATCAATAAAATCGTTTTTAATGTAACTCAGAAAGTATATTTTTCCGTATTTTTCTTAATTTTGATAGGATGTCATACAACACTGCGATATCACTTTATTATCTTTACTTTTATATGAGTTGCTTGTTTTTTGTTTTGTTTTTTTTTTAGTAATTTTATAGATTACAATCACCTTTGATTCTTTGAAAATCTCACTTAATCTTATGCAGTGGTATAAAATCCGTTGCGGATAAGAGATGGGTACCCCAAGCGTTACGGACATACAGAAGGACCTACGGAATGACGGACACGTCCATCACTATACAGCTTTTCAAACGGGGGTACAATAAATAACAAGAGGCCCAAGGGCCTTAACGGTCACCTGAGTATTATACAACAATTTAGAGGATCCATAGAGTATAAAATGAACTGAAAGGTGAAGCTTTGTTGCCCAAAAGCAAGAAAAATAGGGTGATCAGGATCAACAAAATAATTAGTCTAGTATTCATTAACAGTTCATAAATTAGGTTCTAATCTGTTTCCCATTTATCACTCTCACCAGACAGTATATTAAGAAACTATCAGTGCCTCTGTACTTTTTTAATTCCTTGTGGAAATCTCTTACAATGGCCTGAGTAAGACTCTTGGTCTTTGATGAACATTTAAGGTACTTGTATTCCATCCCTAATAGCCTCAGATTCAATGAATTTGAATACATAACAGATGTGTACAGGTGGAATACTCAGTATATTTAGACATAATCTCCATTTATTACTATTAGCATGTAAGAATGGTAGTGTCCTAATTTATGACTTGACCTTTGATGAAGAGTTATCTCCCTCTTTTTTTAAGTAATAAAAATCAATTTAAAAAAAATATACGGTAAAAAAATTGTTTTCAATTGTCATTCTATTTCTAATGATTTAATGCATCTTTCCACCACAGTATTTATTGATATTCTTATTATCTGAATTTTTATTTTAAAAAAATCGCTTGTCTCCATAGACTTCAATGCAATTTCTATTAATTAAATACTGCTTAGTTAATTACATTTTTGAAACTTTCACTTAGCAAATCCTTTTCTATTGTAAAGTTCTTTGAATTATATCAGAGTATTATATACGTGATTGATATTTAAGGATAGAGAATTAGTTCCTATTAGGGATGGAAAACCTTAATAAGACAAGTCTACCTGATCATTAAAACTATGAAAGTACTTTTTGTATTAATCAATAAAAATTCTTGCATAATTCTCTTATTCTATTAACCTTTCAAGTACATTATTTACAGTGATTAATTATCACAAGTAAATGGCAAAGGGGAATAACTCCTCTCAGTAGAATACAAATTAATAGAGCCTGGTCTGGACTAGAACACTTGACCAAATGGACTTGATGTTCAAAAATCTGGTAAAAATACCCTTCCTTATTAAAACTTTTACTCTTTTTGCCTCTGATATGCCCAGGTGCAAAGAAGATTTTTAAAGCATTAATGCATTTTCACTATATAATAAATAGAGTCCCGCCCTAACATCAGAACCTCTGATCCAGGGGTCATGAATTTCACAATTTTGGAAAAGGCATCCTTGCTTATCATAACCATGTATTTGTTTAAATAATACCCAGGAGAAGAGAAGAAGATTTTCAAAGAAATAATGCACTTTCACTATATGATCTATATAGCCCCGCCCTAGCACCAGAACCCCTGACCCAGGGGCTATGAATTTCACAATTTTGGTAGAGTTACTCTTGCTTATCATAACTATGTATTCAATTTGTTTCAATAATACCCAGGAGTAGAGAAGAATATTTTCAAAGAAATAATGCACTTTCACTATATGATCTATATAGCCCCGCCCTAGCACCAGAACCCCGATCCTGGGGCTATGAATTTCACAATTTTGGTAGAGTTACTCTTGCTTATCATAACTATGTATTCAATTTGTTTCAATAATACCTAGGAGTAGAGAAGAAGATTTTCAAAGAATTAATGCATTTTCATTATATAATCAAAAGAGCCCCGCCCTAGCACCAGAAACGCTGACCCAGGGGCCATGAATTTCACAATTTTGGTAGAGTCACTCTTGTTTATCATAACTATGTATTCAATTTGTTTCAATACCCAGGAGTAGAGAAGAAGATTTTCAAAGAAATAATGCACTTTCACTATATGATCTATATAGCCCCGCCCTAGCACCAGAACCCCTGACCCAGGGGCTATGAATTTCCCAAATTTGGTAGAGTTACTCTTGCTTATCATAACTATGTATTCAATTTGTTTCAATAATACCCAGGAGTAGAGAAGAAGATTTTCAAAGAAATAATGCACTTTCACTATATGATCTATATAGCCCCACCCTAACACCAGAACCCCTGACCCAGGGGCCATGAATTTCACAATTTTGGTAGAGTCACTCTTGTTTATCATAACTATGTATTCAATATGTTTCAATAATACCCAGGAGTAGAGAAGAAGATTTTCAAAGAAATAATGCACTTTCACTATATGATCTTTATAGCCCCGCCCTAACACCAGAACCCCTGACCCTGGGGCCATGAATTTCAAAATTCTGGTAGAGTCACCCTTGCTCATCATAACTATGTATTCAATTTGTTTCAATAATACCCAGGAGTAGAGAAGAAGATTTTCAAAGAAATAATGCACTTTCACTATATGATCTATATAGCCCCGCCCTAGCACCAGAACCTCTGACCCTGGGGCCATGAATTTCACAATTTTGGTAGAGGGCTCAATGCTTATTACAATCAAGTCAACAGTTTGACTGCTTGATGTCCAGGAGTAAAGAAGAAGATTTTTAAAGATTGCATTAATTTTGATGGTTTTGGCCCCACCCCTCAGGCCCCAGGGGGCAGGGGCCACGAATTTCACAACTTTTCTTCCCCTTCACCCATAGATGCTATATGCCAAAATTGGTTGAAATTGGTACACTGGTTCCAGAGAATAAGTTGAAAATGTTCAAAAGTTTACGACCGACGAACGACGGACGACGGACGACGCACGACGACGGACGAAAAGAGATAGCAATAGGTCACTTGAGTGACTCAGGTGACCTAAAAATAGAACCTTAAAATGAATGAATTATACAGTGCGGTTGAATTAAATGCAAGTAAAATCATATCTATAAGGAAATGATGTACGTGTAAAGTACATCAAAACAATATATAAATCTTGAAAAGAATAGCTTTAAAAACAAAGCGTTCATTGTGATATATATTGACACACAGAGGAAAAACAATCAGAAGAAATAAAAGTCCTTCTGTATGATTTGCTTTGTAAAAGTGATTACATAATTGATTTTCTGTCGTTCATTTAATGGGGTCTACATTTTTTTTATCCTTTTTTTTTTTCTTTTTTATAAACTACAATAAAAACTATTATACCATAAGTAGCCTACACCGACTTCAGCCTACAAGCAAAGTTTCAGGAAAAATGGGATCGGAACACAGTACAACATTTCACTGAGCCCGTAGCGAGGAACAACAGACACTTTATGACGACTGCCTGTATATTTCCTTTGCTCAAATCAGGAAACTGATGAACTCCATGCATCGTAGAAACCGAGTTGCAATTAATGAACATGGGGAACACACTCACAACGGAATTGGAGGGGAGTCAGAATGGTTACTTTCTATTTCTTTAAAAAATCTGATAACGTTCAACTTTTCAATCAAATATCCTGTGTATAAGTCAGTTATCTCTTTATGTAAAATCATGATGAATTGTAAATATCATTAACTAAAAATCTTGAAATATTCGTTTACTTCTTGTAACGTTTCTTTTGCAGGTCAGTATACTTACATTTGCTGGAAGGAGAACATGAAAAATTAGTCTCCATCCAGTGTGTTCCGTTACATGACGTAAAGCTTAGTTCATCATTACTCATAAAACCCGCCAAACAAGAGTAAGATGTTAGGCTTCCTCTGCCTCGTCCATTATAGATCTTTATAGTGTTTAAAATATCTGGTGGTGGTGGACACTCTATAAACATTCCAAAATAAAATTTATGTGTCATGCATAAAAATTGTAGCCTTTTTTGTTTATATTTGGTACATAAATGTGTCACATATAAACAATGAAACCTTTTTAAAATGAATCTTTTTTGGTTTATGTTTAATACAGATATATGTCATGCATAAAAATGAAACATTTTTGGTTAATATTTAGTACATATTGCTTATGCTTTTAGTTTTAGCCTACAAAGAATATACATCTACATGATCCGCACATATGCTTTTGACCAATGCATTTCTTATCATAAAAAGTGCAACTGTCCCATAAATGCTAGACTTCAAAAAAAGGTGGGAGGGGTTCTCTACGAGAATATTTGAGGGATACCTGAAACATTAGTACTGATGTCCTTCACTGTGATCTGTACTGTGTCTTCGTGAATCTTATCACTTCCGTCACCCCAAACACCACCAACATAAATTAAGTGACTGTGTGAACTAATTGGTGTCCATAATAGTACTTCAGATTCCGTGTATCCATAAATAATCCCTCCAAAGTGTTCCCACGAACAGCCCAAACTCGCTGATCCGGCTCCATAAAACGTTCTCCCGTTAGTGATTGATAAACTTTTGACCTTGCAATTAAATGATAAATGTTTTACGTTCATTGATGATAACACATTTTACACTCAGTAGAAGTAGTCAGTTTTATTACTGTATTGTAAAAAGATATATTATTTATTATTAATACAAACGGTTTTCTGGGGCAAAGATTCCATATAAAAATTCAAAAGATCAGAAAAAAGGTGCATTAATATCTGCATCTCAATCAATCTTTTAGGCATGATATTTTAAGACAAAATGCAGTCAAATTAACAAATATGGAAGGAACATGTACAGCTGCTTGAGGCCAAAATCTAAAATAATAAAACCAATTAACAGACAACATATACAAACAAACAAGTAGATGTCTCGCTTTGAAGTGAATCATTTATTATCTCTTTTTTTGAGGAAAATACCTTTACTTCTGGTTCCGTATAGGTTGGACACTGACACTTTGCCTGAGACTCAATACTGAGTCTTCTGACGCTTAAGAGGTGATTGTTTGTCAACTGAAAATTATGCAATAAACTAAGGAAGGTACCCTAACAATGAGCAGAGGGTAGGAAACAAAAACACCCACGATAGTAAGGCTGAGACAGAATCTGACAGACAAATACAAATATGATTGATTTCCCCAACCCTCAAAGCTAAAAAACAATGACAAAATTAAAATAATGTTTAAAAAATATTTTATTATTTTATTAACTAATACGTATTTCAAACAATCCAACAAAAGAGATTTCAGTCTGTCTTTGGAATACCGACCCCGATGTGTTTTCATAATATTCAAATATCAGTATGTGTGGTAACTCTTTATCACATAGTTTCAAAGTACAGTGTCATAAGCTCATAAACATGTGTAAATGCTTATCATCGAAACTCTGCCTCCTAAAATTAAAGACATAATTAAAATCAAACTGTCCAGAGGATTGTTTTGTGCAAATTAGGTCAAAAGTCAACGTTTAGTGGCCTATAGTTTTCGTATTTAAAAAATATATATATCAAACAGTGCACATGCTTATTAGCATGAAGTTATTTCTTAAAAGTCAAACATATGCTGTATATCAGCACCATGAACTACTTTGAACAGTAGGTCAACGGTCCAATTCAAAGGTAAAAAAGTCAGTTTTCAGTTCTTCAAGTGCATTTAATTTTCGTTTATATGTACATGTATACTTAGTTGAGTTCAACTGTATTTAGAAATTTAACATCAACATACGATTGTACCTAGAAACTTAAAAAGAAAAAAAGTCGAAAAGTCGTGTCAGGAATACAGTATCTTTGCTACCCTTGAAAAATGTGTTTGTTAGCTATATTTGTAAATGGTAAAGCTCATGGAATATTGAAAATGAGAATAATTCTGTGTGGTAATAGGGCAATACCCAACACCGTACTACAGCTATATATTAAATAAGATACGGTAGAAATTGGCCACCAATTAAAGCTTAACATTTATTTCAATTTTGAACATTTCAGTAAAAAGAAATAGTTTACTTCAATCAATACTCGCCAATGATACACGTGTATGGAACACATTTTATTTTCTCTGGACGATACAATTGGAAGATCTAGTCCATATGTCATATAGAGGTAAAACGGTCAGGGCAATGAAGACATTTTCAAAAAGACAAAATATAACACAGGGGAAACTGTACCTCAACAGTGACGATATCCGTATCTAAATCAATGGGATAGCTTGCAGGTAGACTATCCAAGAAAGAGCCACCCCAGTTATACGTGAATGAGTCTACTTCTTGAATATCTGAAGCTGAGAATTTCCATGCACGGATGATAACGTCAGCTGATGATTATCGTAAGTTTTCACTACCCCAACCATCACAGAAACAAGCTACCATGTCCTCTACAGAAATAAAAAAAAATGTAGAATGTATTGCTTTAAAGTGATGTTTTCCTTCAAGCAGGACATGGTACTTATGCATATGGTTAAACAGATATTGTTTCTACGGTTGTCTTCTTCTGGAATTTCTCGGATGTGTCAAATCCTTAAAAATTACAATATTTCCAAGGTATTGGTTGAGATATTCTCTAAATGCATCATCTTTTATTCTTTTATGGAAATAAAGAAAACGCTAGTGGAATAAAAATTGGAATCTTAACATTTTTCATTTTTATAATCATTTTAAACTCTGTTACATACAACTAAAAATGTTTTCTGATTATAAATATAAAGAAATCAAGATCCATATTAAATATGAAAAGAAATTTTAAAAAATCAAGTACTACTCATAAATATAGTAATTTATTTCGGGTGGTTACATAAAAACCGCAAAACATTTTGTAGAATACATCTAGATTGTGAAATGTACATAAAAACCACATGTAACTGGAAAACATAATAGATAATTTTCTCAGCAAAGATTAAGTATATACCATTTTTACTCGGAGCCCAGAGTGTGATTGAGGTTTGAGTGACTCCAAACACGACCCCACATATGTTATTTGTACCTGTGTCATCAGCTGTCACGGGAGTTACACCTGAAATGAGAGTCATGATAATCAAATTAACAATTCTCAACCAGACGTTATCATCCACTACTAACCTTGACCTGTTGGACTTACATTGTGACGTAAAAAAATAAAACAAGTGAGTAATCATTGATTATCCTGAAGGCTGATATTTTTTTTTCTCCTTAGTTCGAATAAAGTCCAATGATCTTGCCTTAGCGCCATCGCATAACAAAGGATGAGACTCTGTCTTTCAGTTTACTGAAAAAAATGACTAAAATTTTACTGAGAGGTGACTAAATTTAAATTCTAGAGCTCTACCATTTCGTCACCTTTCCAGAACTTTCAGTAACCATGCAGTTGATTTAATGGTACAGATACATCCTGTGACTAGATACGGTACTATATTCATAGCTGTAGGTGTCTTCCTACGAATGCTAAACCCTCGTCTTGATGTTAAACCCCTTCATTACTCATGCTTAGGTATTAGCATGACTAATTATTTTATTTCAACGTACCTGTTCCCTCTGTGACGTAGCCGTCATTAAATACTAACTGTACAGTCACTAGATCCGGGTAAGTTCCAAAACAAACCGTCAAATGTTGATAGGGAAAATCTGTGGATAAAAATATGCTTTACGAAAAATTGATATCAATGATGAAAAAGGTAAAGAAACCATTCACTTTCTTTAAATGCTAAAAAAATTCATTCTATATAGATAAACAGAGAGCGTAATGTAATGTTTAAAATACATACCTGTGGATATTGATAATCCAGATGTGATGGAAAAAATTGGAGTGGGTAGTTCAGGCAATCTCCAAACTCTTGTTCGGACCTTACCAGTGACAAACATACTTGAAAATGGACCGCTGTATGACCCACCACCTATTAAGATAAAATGATTGTTATTTTTCTTACGCTTCAAACTAAAATGTTTGTGAATGATAGTTTTCATAATCCATTCAAATTTATGTCCATTTAACATTTAAAAGAAAATGATAAAGATAACATTAGACAACAAAATTTGAACTCTTCATACACATACATGGCTTAGAGGAAAAGGTGGGTTTTTTTTTCGTTTTATTTTAAATTATGAACCCCTTGTGCTTGTCCGAAGTTCAATTTTATTGAGTCGCCCGCGTGGCGCAGTGGTTAGAGCGTCTGCTCTAGAGTCGCGGAGTAAGGAGTTGATCCTTACGTCGCGGGTTCGAATCCCACTGTGGGACGTGGAGACCGGTCCTTCGGATGAGACCGTATAAACCGAAGTCCCGTGTCGCAGTAGGTGCTGGCACGAAAAAGATCCCTCACTGTTCAATTGCCGTAAGTGCCGAGTATAGGACAAAATTTGTAGCTCTCCACCGGCAAGTGGTGGCGTCTCCATATGAGTGAAAATTCTCGAGAGGGACGTTAAAGAGCATACAAACAAACAAACAAAACAAACAATTTATTGATAATTGATCATCTTGTAAATTGACCATAAATCAATAAAACCGATTATAACATACAGCAGGATTTTCATACTACGATGCCAGGGAATTTTTTTTCTTTATTTTCCTTCGGGCTATATAGAGGGAAATGTGAGAGGTTTTTACTGATTTTTTAATTGACAGCTATATCGAAGAAAAAAATCATAAAATTACTGATACTACTGTCGGACTGTGCTTTTGTACATTTACATGGATTGTTTATTTCACTGTCTCCTCATACTTTATATTAATGTTTGTACATAGTACTAAAGTGAAATACGGGGTAGAAACAGGGAATGGCTACGACTTTAAACGGAGAATGCCTCTGAGGCAAATAAAAATGATTCATAGATGAAAAGCATATTAGGAACCAATCATAATTTCAAACTTTATGAGTAAATAAACAAAATATCTTTAAAACAATATTTATTTCCCTGTATGCCAGGTGAAGATTCCAGTGGCTATTTCTAGTTCGCCATTATTCTTACCACTGTCGTTTCCTGTTGGTTCTGCCTTTGCAATGCAAAGAAAAAAAATTCAATAAAAGTAGAAAAGTTGGAGTGGGAGACAGAAGTGGGTGACAGGAAAACCAGTTCATGAAAAATATGCTAAGTATCACTAATGTTATGATAAATCAAGAATTAAGTTTCTTCTTGTGCTTATTGGCACTAGGAAAATCATTTATTTGAAGACCGTATTCTTAGATGTCTCAGTATATGACTTAACTAATTAACGCATGTATTCTGAATTCAAAGTAATGTTTCAAAGACTCAAAAAGTGACACCTAAAGCATTATTCCAACCCTTTAGTTACCTGTGGTAATAATTCGTCCATAACCGCGCGTGTGTTCTTTTGCAACCGAAACAAACACTTTCAAGTGCTGCGTATTGTATAGGAATGCAACACCCCCATATTCCGCGGCTATGTCATCATCTCGCTGTGTCGATCCAATACCAGGAAATATGTATGGTTTACCTCCATGTACCACCTGAACTTGCAAGTCAACCTTCGCAGGTATCTCGTTCAAAAAGTGGGGAATCAGAATGGGACTTGTTCCATTCACACTAACGTCAAACCAGTCACTTATAAAAAGTGTTTGTATTCTCAAGGCTACAACCATTAAAAATACATTACAAGATAATAAAATAATTCGTTATAAAATATCTTAAAAGAAGTAGAAATGTAAACTCGATCAATTTTTTTAAAATAAATACCTGTTTATTAATATCTGAGTATATATAAAGGATAGCAAGTATCTTGAGTTGAGAAAGCAGAGAGTTCATTTTCTTCAATGTTTAAATCCTTCTGTCTTATACATGTACTAATACACATGCATTATTTCCGATATATTTTAGCGCATATTCTTTTAATCATTTAATCTTATACTGGAGATATCGATGGTTTCTTTAGTATGTATTTAAGTTTTTGAATCCTCGTATATTTAAAAAGTGACATTTGTCACTATAACAAAGTTCTGAGCGTATTATAAAAAACAGAAACAAGAAAAAAATCTAAAACAAAACAAAACGAAAAACAAAACCAAAAAACCAAAAATAATAATAATAATAATAAATGAAATAAGTAAGAATGTAATTATTCTTTCAATGTTTCAAAACGTTGGATTGCAGAACCCACAAAGCATCTTACATATTAAAGACTGAATATAGTTGGGTTAAATTGCCTAAGTATAGAGAAGATGATTCTAGCTAAGTTTATTTTAAAAAATGAACCTTTAATGATCTAAAATTGATCAGGGACCTGCAGTCCTTCGTGGTCTTGATTAACTAAAACAATACGAAAAGGTGCTGCTGGCCTAAGAAGAATTTAAAATATATCATTAAATAAAAGATGATCAGAAAAAAAATAACAATAATTGTAATTTACTATATTTCTTTAATGTTTTGGGGTTTTTGACATGGCTTTAGTAAATTATCTCTAATTGCTGTATTTATAAAACTCACATTTACCTCTGGAAATTCCAGTTAGAAATTAAAACAATGCATTTAAAAAGAATTTAAAAATAATATTTCAACCCTCCATTTAAGTAAAAAATTTAACTTACTTTTCCAAATTAAAATCATCCAAATTACCCTAGTGAAATAAGTGGTTCTCATCATAGGAGCTTTTCACCATTATACAATGAGCATGGCAGATATTACAATTTATGTATGCAGACTGATCAATGCAAATTTCTGAAAATCATTCAAATAATCCCAACTACATTTAAAGTAATATTGTTTTCTTTATATAACATTGTTTTCATTCTGAATTAAAGAAATGGGTAGAATTGATTAGCTCTCTGTAAACCATTGCTTGTCAAAAGAGTAATTACAATGAAATTTAATTTTAAATTCTAAATTTTGCTACTTTTACTTGACTTATTGATAACTTAGCAGGAGCGCTAATTGAAATTGTGAAGTTTTGCATACTTTTTTTCTTACCTTGCTTATTACTTATTTTATATTTGATTCAGCATTTTTATGGCATGTAAAGTTTAAAATCATCAGCACAAAGATGATGTAAAAATGGGGTTAATATTAAAATACCGTAGAAATTATATACTAGCATAATACACCAACAATTGGGGAGATACGATATTTTAAAGTATCTCATCTACATCATTTAATTAGTTGCTCTTTGCACACCTTGAGAAACTGTACAGAATCTAAAAAAGTGGAGATAGCAATTTCATACATTGTATAAACTATGCAAAATCAAGAACAGAAAAAAAACAAGATGCTTTTGTGAAACATTGATGTCCCCGGTATGGCAGCCCGAGGCATAGGTCAAAGTTTTTCAAACTTAGGACACACTCTGAGATCAAGGTAAAGGTTCAAAAATGATGATATCAAGAGAAACGTCTTGTCAAAAAAAAAAACAAAAAAACAAAAACAAACAAACAAACAAACAAACATGTGAAATATAATAGTCATCGTACCAAACATTCAGAAAATATGGACAAGGTTAAAGTTTTTTTTTTTTTTTTTTTTTTTTTTTTTTTTTTTTTTTTTTTAAAGGTCATATCCCAAAGTCAGTGTCATTATGTGAAAAATAATGGTACGAAAAGAAAGATCTTGTCATATGAAATGCATTAATAAAATATAAAAAGCCCTAGCAACAACCGTTCAAAAGACATAGGTAGGTATAGTTAAAAAAGGGGGTTTAAATGTAGGTGAAACTCAAAGGTCAAGATTATGAGGTCAAAAACGTTTAATATTATGTTGGGCTTTCAATAAATACATAATTTTGTGACAATCACAAAGCTTATTCAAATAAATGAACAAAAATACAAAATGTCAATCTGTCAATAAGAACATACAAGGGTTGTTAGAGAAATTCGTAGACACATTAATTTACGAAAAAATTATTGCGTACTTGAAGAATGCAGTATGTCTGATTAAATTCTTATCTTTTATTTAATAGTACGGAAGCCCGTTGATGCCAATTCAGAGAAAGAAATAGTTTTTATTGCGTTTAAACGCAATAATTATTGCGTTTAATCGCAAAACATTGCGTTTAATCGCAATAATCATTGCGTTTAAACGCAATAATTATTGCGTTTAATCGCAATGTATATTGCGTTTAAACGCAAAACACTTTGCGTTTAATCGCAAAAGATTGCGATTAAACGCAATCTTTTGTGTTTAAACGCAATACTTTTGCGATTAAACGCAATAATTTTTGCGTTTAATCGCAATAATTTTTGCGTTTAATCGCAATAATTTTTGCGTTTAATCGCAATAATTTTTGCGTTAAATCTTTTGTGTTTAAACGCAATACTTTTGCGATTAAACGCAATAATTTTTGCGTTTAATCGCAATAATATTTTTGCGTTTAAACGCAATAATTTTTGCGATTAAACGCAATACTTTTGCGTTTAATCGCAATAATTTTTGCGTTTAAATGCAATAATCATTGCGTTCAAAGGCAATAATCTTTGTGTTTAAAGGCAGTCATTTGTATCAAACCTTGCAGAGAACAATGGACCCACGTATACTTATATCTTTTATTTTTTTCTCTTTTTACTTATTAGGAAATTGTGTGTTGTCTTTATAGAATCAGATTTCTCCGAGCAAACACTCTCTGAAAGGTAAATCACTAATAAGAATTTATAGAGGAGAAAAAAAAGGTCGGGTTGTAAAAACAAAGGAATCCTAAGAACGAGACATGTCTTAAGCTTATTCTCTACATTTTTAATGAAGATTCGGTCAGTTGTTCTGCTAAAAAAAAACTGTCCCATACGTTGCAGTCACAAGTTTAAATCATGTATAAAGGGATTTTTGGAAAGGACTGAGGAAATGTTGGAATTACATACAACATGATGAAGTATTTAGACTTCAATGTACATTCATAATCCTTCCTATGGTTGCATACAGTAAACACAAGAACATATGTGATGGATTTATATGAGGTCAAAATCAAAATCAAATGAAAACAGATTGATCGATGTGTACTACATGTATCAAATTGACAAGTGCTATTACATGTAATACCACTGAAACTTTCTCTATAAGTTGTGATACACGTAAGCAATTGATCAGAGACTTCATTAAGAGTTTTGGGTTCTAATACATTTAAGACATTCAGGTTGTTAGGATGCCATTGTTTTATTACAATTTTCAAAAACTGGAAAATTTTGCAAAAAGACACAGAACAAATCGGATCTTCTCAAAGTTGAAGTGTCGGGTCCTAGTACATGTAATTATAAGCTTTGACTAATTCATGTTTGATTTTGAAACTACAGTATCATTGTGTTTAAATGCAAAACAAATCCTTATAGGGAAGGATTATTGCGTTTAAACGCAAAGATTATTGCGTTTAATCGCAAATTTATTGCGATTAATCGCAATGCTGTTGCGTTTAATCGCAATACTATTGCGTTTAATTGCAAAAGTATTGCGTTTAATCGCAATACTTTTTGCGTTTAAACGCAAAAATTATTGCGTTTAAACGCAAAAAATATTGCGTTTAAACGCAAAAATATTATTGCGTTTAATCGCAAAAGTATTGCGTTTAAACGCAAAAGATTGCGTTTAATCGCAATCTTTTGCGTTTGAACGCAAAGTGTTTTGCGTTTAAACGCAATATACATTGCGATTAATCGCAATCTTTTGCGTTTAAACGCAATAATTATTGCGATTAAACGCAATGTTTTGCGTTTAAACGCAATGATTATTGCGTTTAAACGCAATAAAAAATATTTCTTTCTCTGAACTGGCCTCAACGGGCTTCCGTATAATAGTGTGTAAAAAAAAAAAAAAAAAAAAATTGGGTCCATTTATCAAAATTTTGAAAAAAAACCCAATGATTTTTACTGAGCAGTCATAGGATTCATGGAGCAATTACAAGACGTTTAGATGAATTGACAACCTGATTCCATACCTATTAACATTTTTCACAGTTACTGATTTTATTACGAATTTTATTTTTTAAATCAAACTCTGGAAATAAACTTGCTTGTTGATACACTACACATTAGTACATGAGGAACTTCATTGTCAGTTAACACCCCCCCCCCTACTTTCAAAGTCCTATTTAAATGCAGACAAATTACAAAATAATTGAATTGCAGAATAACAGAAAGCTCACATAAAAAAAATTAGAGTCTAAGACTTTTTTTTTTACTATTTTATTTTTTATAACATTTAAAATATCTGTTCTAGTTGCGTTGTTAAATTTCGTAACATCTGATATAATTTTACTAATCTTGGGTACAATATGTAAAACATGTGCCTCTTAACAGAGTTATATCCCTGCCAGTCCGGGATTTAACAAAGGACAGCGGTGCTATCACTTAATAATTTTCTCGATTATTTTTTTTTTCTTTTTTAAAACTAACTTAAATATTATACTGTATATCCTTGGTAAGGAAATGGATGAAATATTCCTTTAAATATATATTAGCGAAAAAAATACATTAACAGCAGTATTGATTAAAATCATAAAAAAATTGAAGAACATAATTATTACCCTGGGAGATTGTTTTTATTTAATAGTATTATTTCCTTTCCAAACTAAAATGAAATGACTGAAGAATCTTTTCATTACTTCTACAAAAAAAAGTAGTCCAGCTACTAACTAGAAATAAATTCATCAACATTCAGACAACT